CGAGGCAAAAGCTATGCCGACTTTAGATCTGTCCATCTGCGGAGTCACCTCCAGCTGCCGAGAACAATAACGTGAACAATTCTGCGAAGTAATTGACAAGAGTTATCCGGTATCTCTCGGAAATCGGAGCAGATCAATTGAAAGCGTATCAAGAAAATTTGGAGTAAATTGAAATAAACGATTCCTGTGGAGGACAGCGGCGACGAAAATAATCACAGAATGACGCATTAATCGTAAAACACGGATTTCACCAGAGGAATGAGCAGTCCTCGAAATCAATTGAGGTAAAATGTTAAGTGTGTAATCTTAATTATCTCAGGATATTTAATATGTATTTAAATCGACTAAATATATGTTTCATCAATTAGAAATATTCATGATGATTGAATTATGATTATAAATTGTGAGACATTCTAATAGCATTGAAGATAGTTTTTAACAAGGACGAGTATAGTCTTATAAGTATAAAGCAGCTTCATATTTTGCATTTTTCATTTTTTGGAAAAGGCGGTAATAAATGCCAAAGAAGAACTAAATAAAAAAATTAAAATTGTATAAAAATAAATATCATTTTTCAATAAAACCGTTTTTCAATATATTTTTTATTAGATATGTAACGTTTACATCACTTTGTGGGGATGCTTTATATTTATATTATGGTTGTGTTAAACATTTAGATATAATAAAAACAGCGAAATTAAATTAAAGGACAAATATTGAAATTATTAATTAATTAAAATTATTAATTAAAAATAAATATTTTTTAATAAAACTATTTAAAAAATTTCTTTTGTTACACATGGAATGTTTACGTCAAATTGTAGGCCAAGACTATATTTTTATTTCTTGAATAAAACTCTAATTTGCATTGAGCACGATATAGAAAAAAGAATAAAAAAGCTAGAGAACGTATTTAAAAGTGTTCTTGTTATCGTTTTATTTTTCATGTATCAACTCTTTCGATGCTGTTTCATTTATATATCGCGTTGCAAGAATAATTTTAATCGATCGCGTCTGATTGTCATTCACACCTGTGCATAGTATCTATATACGTAACTGCTTGCATCACAATCGTGGTGAGCGGCCAAATGAGATAGAATTGAGGATTGTGAGCACAGATATTTCTAGTACCACGGGCGAGGAAAGGACGAGGGTGATTGTATCCGCCTGCGAGTCTTCTTCCTCTTGCCGCGAGTCTAGAACCGCCGCCGTTGATACCTCGAATATCGCGCCTCCGTCGAGACGGAAGTGCTTATGCCCGTCGCGGCCATTAACAGCAAATCGCTGCGCGCCGTTTCGTAGACGAGTCTCCTTCAGCGACGCCACTGTCATTGGGACCGACGGCGATGATGATCGTTGTCGCCGCACGATGCAGGATGACGATCTAAGGAGCACATGTCGCGACGACGACAGAGAAATCGAGAGCAAGGCGGAGCGAGAGACGTTTTACGACATTTGGAAGGCGGACGACTCGTCAACCGGCAGGAGCGACGACGGATACTCGGAAAGTACACCGAGAATCGACAATTACGCGGAGACCCGCTGTAGAGTATCGGGTTGCACTTTCAACAACAACAAAAGCCAGCGTTTGCAGTCAGAAAATATCAACGAGCAGACAGTCGAGAGGGATGAACACACGCGGGGAGAATGGACCGGTAACGGTGACGTCTGTCCGACGGATCGCATTGCCGGAAATAAAGCAAGAAACGACGAAGATGATACTATGTGGAACGAGAATCTATCAAACTCCAGCCACAAGAACGTAGACTCGATTGGCCGTAATGAGTATCGCATGCGAGGAGGCTGCGGCGGATGCTGCTGCGGAGCACGCGAAAAGTGGGTGAAATATCATTGTTATACTAAGACGTCGACATTTCGACGTTTGTTATCTATAATGTCTCTGCAAATTATTTGCCAGGCTAATATTGTCAGTAAAAAAAAGTCATGATGAGAATAAATTGAACTTGCACATTTATATAGCATTTGTAAAAGAATTTACAACACACACATACTTGTCTTTAATCCCCTCCGGATGCCAAAATCTGTAACAAAATTACTGACACCGGGTCTCTAAGACCCATTTAATTTATATTATTAATTAAAAAGCATTGCTGAACCATTTGAGGACGCGAGTTTTTTAACAAAGAAATTTAAAAAGAAATCTTATTTTCTAAAGATTTCTGAAATTAAGACTGATTCGATTCTGGCCTCAGAATTTTAAAATCCGAATTTAAAACGTAATCTCATTACTATAAAATGACGTAACTTGTATGAAACAGAACGAATACTTAGCATATTTTAATAAGAATAATCCAAATCAAAGATATAACATAAAGAAAATTAAATTATTTGACATTTTTGACAAAGAAATTTATAGTTGAGTGGATCCAATAGACTATATATCATCAGCTCTGGAGGATTAATGACAATATTGAAAGTATTCAAGCAAATTGCACGTGCATTGTTGAACATTATTATAAAGATTTTTTTAAATTCTTAATTAAGCAAACTGAGATACTGATTGACAATACAACATTTCCACGCGGTGTAGCGTCTGGAGGAGTTCACAGGGTTACGGTTGCTGTTGCGGAAGACTCGTACCGGCGCCGAATGAATCATGCGCACCTAGTCCGGACAGAGTCAAGACAGTGTGCGTTATGCCATCGCGTTCCTGTTGTTGTCGTCCCCGAGTCTGCAGGAAGTCGGCCAGGTGCGAGCCATCTCCGTGCACAACGAGTATCCGAAGTTGCGGCGGTGGTAGATGTTGCGGCGGCTGCGGGAAACCCGGTCAGATTTGCACATCCTCGTCGCCGAGGATATGTAACTCGCCAGCTCATTCCTCGCGCGGGAGATCGCCTTGCGCTCCGCGTTGTCCACCGCAGCCCTCTTGCTCAATCAGTGGCTGCAGAAGCTTCTGCAGTGGACCCAACAATTGTAGGAGGTACCTACATGTCGTACTCTTTAAATTTTTTATAGCGGAATCTCACTCTGAAGTGTGAAAATTAAACCAGTTTTGAAAAGGGTGGCTTAATTTTCAATCTTTAAGAATGAGATTTTACTCTTTACAGTGAAATTTATTCTCAAGTTTTAGAAAGTAAGCTTCTATAGAAAAAAATGGTATAATTAAACATGGTACAATTCTGATTAAGATTTGAATTCAATTTTCTTAGTTTCAGTTTGATTTTTTTTTGTTTAGTAGTATCCTTTATTAGATACTTTTCACATATAATCAAAGATCGCGATTATTAAATTTGAATCTCAAAATTTGATTTAAATCTTATTTCGTTTAAAATTGTATCATATTCAAAGCTTACCACTTCATCCTATAGGATTCAGAATATCCTTTCAATCAAGTTTCTCCCAACTAATTTCAAATTAAATTTTTTTTTTACTTTGTAGTACTTTTATGTCATAACTTAAGTCATAATTTGTTAGATGATGATAAAAATTGAAGGAAAAAACAAAAAAGTTTAAGTGTTAAGCGTTTTGTATTTATAAGAATTTGTTTTCATGCTCTGGTTATGCTATAAGAATTTGTGGATCATTAAGGAGATGTGAGATATTAATACCTTTGTATCTACATTACTGAGGAGGACTCCAAAGAGAGTTGAAATGTTGAAATAAAGAAGACATCATTCCAACTATAGAGTATTAAATTATTTCACAATAATTTGCGCCATTTATCTGCCCTGACTCTCATTAGCCTACTTTTATTTATATGTATATTAGCTATAAGAATGATTTTGATCTATGTCGCAGGTCGCGCAGCCCAAGATGTCTGTCTACCATAAGTAACGGATGCTGCAGCGTCAATGACGGAGTGAAATGCGGCACCGATGGAGCCTGCTGCCGGCTGAGATTGCCATGTGAATGCCTTGGTGGCGGCCTTGACTGTCGGCGATGTGGAAGAAAGGTCTACCAGGCTGAGATGCAGGTAAGTACAATATTGTTAAAGAGACAGCACTGAAATCGAGATCGTATCATTTACGACAGTTATATCATTCCAAACAATATTTGAATCAACATAACACATACAAAAAAATATCTTAATATTATCCAATAGATATAAGAATGTAAAAGAAATATGTAATTCTATTGTGACAATCGGCAATTAATTGCGATATACAATAGAAAACAGAAAAAGATTTTGAGGGGAGTAAATATTATAAATTTTTACGTGTAATTTATTGCTTTCCAAGATCGCCTCCGGAGTACCGTACCACAATATTTGCTTCAGTTGCTTTTGTTGCCGAAAGCCGCTGGAACCGTTGACTTATCAGGAGAACGGCGGCGAGATCTATTGCAAACGTTGGTATTATCAAATTATAGAAAAAAAAGAGACTTTTAGGAAAGATGAATACCTTTCCTTGAGCCTTTTAAGTTTCATGTTTTCTATTCTTTCCCAGGTAGAACACGGAGTCATAATTAAGTTATAATGATAACACAGGATGTCATTTGATATTTAAAAATTGATTTATAAGTGACGAATGAGGTCATGATGATATTCTCATGACATTATGACTTCTATGTTCTACTTGGGTTCCGCTTCAGTCTCTTCGATTGGATAATATTATCCGGCCGGTTAAGATTGTCCAGGTTAACTGAGTTTCTTCCATAAATTGCACAGAATGTTACGTTCGTAATTTCGGACCGCAAGGATATGGTTACGGCGTGGGTGCCGGTGTACTGCAGACACCCTTGTGATCCCGTCGACTGCTTAGTATCGGTCGTACACATGCGAAAGCATTCAAGTATAGTTACGACGTTTCTTTATGCGTTCTTCTATTTCTTTACGACAGTTATAAAGTCATGCGTGAGAGAGCTCAATGCATATTAAGACATTTGCTTTTGTGTGGCGCCATAACATCCTGTACATTTTTCCGCACGCACACGCATATTTAGCGAACGTTTTTACGCGAATAAATCCTGTGACGCTGAATACACTACAGTGACGTTATTATTCTTGATATTCAATCCGTTTATCCGGTAATAAGTCGCGAGAGGAAAGTAAAACCTAAACGTGCAGGAGGAAACAGAGTAGCGAGTTAAGAGAGAAACAAGAAGATCGGATGAAGAAGTTGCGGGAGGAAGAGTAAAACGGTTGCTCTTTATGCCAAGAAGAAAAGAGAATAATGTAGTCCGTTTATTGAGCCTCTCTGCCAGGGTGAATTGCGCGAAATGACTCGTCGGGGACTGATTACGGAGTAAACTAGATACATGTAAAAAGGAAGGGGTGAACGGATTCGAGACGGGAAAAGCGGGAAAAGATTCGCGATGCGGAAGGAGAGAGGCTGAACGAGCGAGGGGCTGCGTTTTGGAAGGAAAAGGACAACGAGAGAGAGAGAGAGACGGGCACGGAGGTACGTTCCGTGGGCTTGCAAAACAGAGAGAACGAGGCAGAGGAGAGACAGGAAGGAGGAGGAAAGAGTGAGTGGTTGGTTTATTGAGTCTCTCTCCGGCGCGGTGGATTTGTGCGCGGAGGAAGACGCAGGCGGAGGGGCGTTTATATAGCTTTCAGGCGCAGAAGCTTAATCTAATTTCAAATATAAATCTGTTCTCTCTCTCTCTCTCTCGCCTCTGTCTTTGCCTCTCTCTCTCTTTCTCTCCTCACGCTCTTTTCCTTCCATCTCCACCGCGCAATGCCGGGCGCGCCCTTCCTCGCTATCCGCACAGAACGCGCCGCGCTTTACATTATACTTGCCCGGCTACGAATAATGTTTTTCGCTTTTCCCATTAACGTTACGGGACACAAGGACTTACGTAAACGCACCGTCCAACCGGCGAGCACCGCTTTGTCGCGCTACGTTTTCGATATAGGTACAATTATGGAAGCAATAATACGTTAAGTCTGAAGAAAAATCGTGTCCCTCCCTCCTCTTTGCGTATGGCTCGCGTCAGATGTAGGGAATGCGATCTTTTTACCAGTATTTTCTGTAGAATCTACCAGAACTCAATTGTGTACGTCAAATATTGCCTTCTATAAAATTTATGAGAAGCACGTTTGACGTTCGACCCAAATTCGCCTGGATTTTGCGCGTCGATCTTTTTCAGACGAGCCACGAATTTATTTATGGACTTCGTTCTAGACAGAATAAAGCCCGCGTCTTTTCGGGGAAAATTAATAATTTGCTCTTTTCACATCGCACTTTCGTGTGATTTATTAAATATCGTAACGATTTATTTGTATAGCATTATAAAGATTTATTTATGACATCATAAAGACCCAAGAATAAAAAAACGAATTTTATACGAATATATTTGATATTTCACAAGATCTAGTGTGTGGCATATGCTCAACCGTTTTTATTGTTTATTTATTAGCCACGTATTGAGGACAATTTTGCCAAGAATAAAAGGTCACGATGACGTCAAAATGGTGTCAAAATGATTTCGAAATGATTAAAAGTTATCTTTTCGATCAGTCATGACTCATTTTGATGTTTCCTGATAAAAATAAAAATCGGAGCAAAAGTCGAATATAAGGAGAGAGTAACAGAAACTCTCCTCTTACATTCAACTTACACTTTAATTTTTATTTTCGCCAGGGTTATCGCAATAAGTTCTTTACAGGTTTTAAGATACTACACGGAGAAAATTTTATATTAAGTTTTAATACAATTTTAAATTATACTTTACTATCTTGTATTTTCGATGGACTCTTACAACATGATTCCGACTTAAACTATGGTAATACTAATTTTTATCACATAAATAAAGTAATTATTTTGTTAAGCCATATTCTAACATGAAAACAGTTAATTTTTACTATAGTACGCAAACAAAATTTGCTAGGTGTATTTGATTTTGTAATACAAAATTTTTACTATAAAAAAGTGTAAAAATTACGTTATATTATTGTTTTTAAAAAAATAACTATAGCATTTAAACTTATAATTTACATGAAGACCGCAGCTACTATTATACACATATATATTATAGTAATTTTAAATATAAAATTTTCTCCATATATATTTGACTGTGCTTGATCGGTTTCCTACTTAAGACTCCACGATCATCTACGAATTCTATATAAACGAGCTAAAGTTTATTCAAAAGATAGATTAGATTCTATATATTAGGTATTAAACTTAATTTCTGCCGTTTTTTGTCTCCAAAATTGATTTGTTTCGAAGGGAAGATGAATGAATACCTTAATCAAAGTAATTTC